CCCCCCCCCCCGGTGAAAGACGATCTCTAAGTGACAGGCGACTGTGGGTTCGTTCCTACGTTTTCATGCTGACAACGAGACAGTGCCAGGCTGAAGTAGCTCAGGGCAGCGGAGCGCCCAGAGGGGATCCCACTGCCCTCTCTGGAACACCGCCAGGGCCCGTCCGGCACCTTAGCCTCGTGATTTTCAGTCCCGCCGATGGCTGTCACCCCCTGAGGAAGGTGAGACTTGGCAGAGCGAAGCACTGAAGCACAGCTTCCCGATGACGGGGCCAGGATGACATGCAGGTGTGTGCGGCTCCAAACCCCAGCTCTAAGGCACACCAGTGTGCTGCCCCAGGGGATGACGGTGGACAGACACAGGTGCAGATGGAGCAAGTCCCAGGCCGCGGCCACAACGTGAGTGGCTCACGCCTGCCCTGACTCGGGCGAGGTTGCTTCTAAGTAGAGTGACAGCTTACCCGGGACAGCTTACCCAGCTTACCCGGGACGGTCCCAGTGTGATTATCAGCGGCACCCTCTTCGCCGGCGAAAGCACCCCGGTTTAGACAATAAGTAATACGGTCGCTCTGTTCGTAAGAGCCAAGCTTTGGGAAGTGAGGTAGATCGAAGGGCAGGTGGGGCCAAACATCCTCCTTGACCCGTGACTGTAACGAGGCCGCTCCGCACCCCTCTCTTCCCTACAAAGCCCAGAGCCGACACGAACACCTTCCAAGCCTCTCGAGAAGCTGATCGGGCAGGGGACCGTGACAGTGGGCCCTCCTCCCTCTGTCCTTCACACCCTCTCCCCACTTCCCAAACACGGCCTCCTGGCCAGGCGGCGGCTACCCAGGCTGAGGGGTGAGCCCACCCCGACCCTTACCTCACACTCTGCCTGACTGAGGAGGGGCCCCGGAAGAGTGGGGAGAGGGATATGCCATGCCGCTGGCGACAGACCGAGCGAAGCCACTCCTCTCCAAGGATCTCAGTTAAACTTCAAAGCAGCTCGTTACCTGGCCCCAGACAAAGCCCGGGTCCCTGGATGCACAGCCCTCAGGTCGGCTGTGTCCTGGCGAGGAACTTTCCCGATGGGACTCACTCACATCCCGGTGTCCCATAACCATCGGGACCACTCACCAGCCCAGGAACCTCTGCCCACCCAACCGGAAGGAAGCCCCACTCACTGCGGATGAAGCTTGTAGAGTGTTCCATCCACCCCCACAGTCACACTGAGATGGTCCAGCCCTCTGTTCTCGCGGATCTTGTCCACCACGGCGGCCATGCCCGCACCGCACAGCTGCGCGGCCCGTTTGGACACCACCCCGCACACGGTCTTGACGAGGATACTGTCGTCACAGGTGCTATTCAGGCCCAGCTGCTGGAGGATGGCCCGGACCTGGAGCAGTGCTAACCGGTCACTGTGGTGGACAAAAGCCAGGGGGGCTGGATGAAGTGGGACCCCCAGAGCAGCCGGGGAGCCCACTCCAGAGGACCGGCCCCGAGTCACTGTGCTTACCACGAATAGGGTCATGGGGGCTTTCTTCCTCCAAAATAACTTTTGTTTATTTTTAAATAACAAAAGTATCACACGTGAAACTATAGAATATTTGGCAAATAGAGAAAAATAAAACTTGGAAAATTAAAACTATCCACCACACAGGGGCAATTCTATTAACATCTGAACGTATTTCCTTCCTTCCAATCTACTTTTTTTTTTTTTAATGTTTATTTACTTTTGAGAGAGACAGACACAGAGTGCGAGTCGTGGGGGGGCGGGCAGGGGCACAGAGAGAGGGAGACACAGAATGGGAAGCAGTCTCCAGGCTCCGAGCTGTCAGCACAGAGCCCAACGAGGGGCTCGAACTCACAGACCGGGAGATCATGACCTGAGCCGAAGTCAGACGCTTAACCGACCGAGCCACCCAGGTGCCCCCCAATCTACTTTTCCTAAATATCACTATCTTTGTTCTTACAATATGCAGAATGGGCTCATCTTTTATATGTGATTTTCTTGCCGACTTTTTTTCCTACTTCACACATGTGAGCAACTTCCCACATCCTTATCTGAGAACAGGACTGGAAACAGTGCCGTGGCCTTCCACTCTGGGGACGCACCCTCATTTATTTAGTCAGGTTAGAGAAACTTGACGTTGATTGCAATTCTCCGCTATCGTGAAGTAACACTCTGACAAAGTTTCCCATTTACAAATCTTTGTGTGCAACTCTGATTTCTCCCTTAGGACACGTTTTTGGGTCAAAGGGATTTTGACGCATATTGCCAAGTGCCTTTCAGGAGGTTGCATCAATTTCGTTTTTTTTCTCTCCCTCCAGCTGAGTTTTGGCTGTACTTGTCCCCAGTGGAAGGGATCATTTTTAAAAACATGGTAATGGGGGCGTCTGGCCGGCTCAGTCGGAAGAACACGTGACTCTTGATCTCTGGGTTGTGAATTTGAGCCCCGTGGTGGGTGTAGAGACTACTATAAATAAATAAGCTTTAAAAAAGGTGGTAATGGCGTGATACTGTAGTTTGATCTGAGCTCTTCTATTAGAAAGAATGACCGTTTTTTTTTTTTTTTTTTTTAACGTTTATTTATTTTTGAGACAGAGAGAGACAGAACATGAACAGGGGAGGGGCAGAGAGAGAAGGAGACACAGAATCTGAAACAGGCTCCAGGCTCCGAGCTGTCAGCACAGAGCCCGACACGGGGCTCGAACTCACGGACCGTGAGATCATGACCTGAGCCGAAGTCGGACGCTTAACCGACCAAGCCACCCAGGCGCCCCATGACCGTTTTTTAAAAATGTGTTTCTTGGTCACATGAACTACCTGTTAGGTCAAGGATAGTTGGGATATTTGTCTTGTTATTATTAAATTGAAAGAGATGGCAGTGACCAACAATGATGACAAGGGTGGTAAGAGCAGCCAGCCTTTTTTGAGGACGTAGCACACAACAAATGCTTTACATACATCACCTCGTTTTCTCTTAACAACCCACTGACACATGTAGCCTTATTCCTATTTTAAATATGAGGAGGGGCGCCTGGGTGGCTCAGTCGGCTGGGCGTCCGACTTTGGCTCAGATCATGATCTCGCGGTTTGTGAGTTCGAGCCCCACATTGGGCTCTGTGCTGACAGCCTAGAGCCTGGAGCCTGCTTCAGATTCTGTGTCTCCCTCTCTCTCTGTCCCTCCCCCACTCATGCTTTCTCTCTCTCTCTCTCTCTCCCTATCAAAAATAAACATTAAAAAAAAATTAAAGATGAGGCAACTGAGGCTGGGTGAAACTGAGTAACTCACTCAAAGCACATATAGCCAGTGCAACACAGCGGGTCTCAAGACCGGTTCTGCCGAAGCTCCCCCCACCACACCCCCACTCTGCATCTTGTCATTCGTGGTGCAAATGCGTTCCTTAGTTTGCTCTTTGCCTTTTAGGTTTGGTTGCCATTTGTCTCTTTTTTTGGAGGGGGGTGGGTGCAAGTGAGCAAAGAGCAGAGAGAGAGGGAGAGAGAGAGAATCCCACGCAGGCTCCACACCGTCAGCATGGAGCCCGAACCGGGACTCGGGCTCACAAACTGTGAGATCATGACCTGAGCTGAAGTCAGATGCTTAATCGACTGAACCACCCAGGTGCTCCCAATTTTTTTTTTTTTTAACTTACAGAAGCTATGTAGCTAAATTCTGCAATTTTTTCTTTACAATTTCTTTCTTTGCTATTGTTCTTTTTTAAATTCTAGTATCATTCATGTTGATATTATTCTTCGAAAGACCTTCCCCACCACTTCCTACCCATTAGGGTGGCTATAATTTAAAAACCGGAAAAAAAGAACACGTGTTGACGAAGACGTGGAGAAAGTGGAACCCTTGTGTGTACCGTGGGTGGGAATGTAAAATGGCTCAGCAACTGGAAACTGGAAAACAGTATGGCGGTTCCTCAAGAGTTAAAAATACAATGATTACATGAAATGTTGCTCACAACAGCCAAAAGTCCAAGCGTCCGCGGACAGATGAATGGATAAACAAAATGTGGTCTAAATGTACAATAGAGTATTTTTATCCTTAAAAAAGGAAAGAAGTTGTGACAAGGGCTACCACATGAATGAACCTTGAGGACGTTATGCTAAGTAAAATAAGCCAGTCCCAAGAAGACAAACACTGTAGGATTCCACTTTCATGAGGGACCTAGAGCAGTCAGATTCAGAGACACAAAGTAGAAGGGTGAGCGCCGGGGGCTGGGGGCGGGACGAAGGGGGAGTTACTGTTTCATGGGTAGGGAGTTTCAGTTCAGGGTGATGAGAAGGTTCTGGGGATGGACAAGGGTGGTGGCCCAACACTGCAAAGGAACTTAATGCCACTGCACTGTGCGCTTCGAAATGGCTGCAATGGTAAATTGCATGTATATTTTACAATTAAAAAATAGTAACAAGGGGCGCCTGGGTGGCTCAGTCGGTTGAGCATCTGGCTCTTGATTTCAGCTCAGGTTGTGATCTCATGGTGGGGAGATGCAGCCCATCGGGCTCGGCGCTGACAGCGCGGAGCCTGCTTGGGATTCTCTCTCTTTCCTTGTCTCTCTGCCCCTCCCCCGTGCTCTCGTGCGCTCTCTCTCTCTCTCAAAATAAATAAGTATCTTTTAAAAAATAAAATACAGTAAAAAATGTTAACAAAAGTATTCACAGAGATATTGTTCTGGTTCTTCTAGACTCCTATCTTCCCCACTTAGCTCTTGGCTGCGCTCGGAATGAGAGAGAGGTGAGAACGGTTTCCCCATCTGTAATGAGCACATGGCACCGGCTGCTGCCTCTCCCTCCCCCACTGCTGTGAAACGCCGCCAATCGGTGCGCTGCAGCCCGCCGGCGTCCAGGTTCCAGGGCCTTCCGTCTGCTGCTAGCGCTTCACCGCTTTGGTTCTGGTGGCCAGTGAGTTTGACATGCAGGTTACAGATGCAGGCACCGGGGAAAGCAAGGAGCAGGCTCCAGCGCAGCCAACGTTAATGTCACTTTTGTGGCCATTCTACAAATAAGGTGGCTCTGGCATAATCACCTTTGCAGAGCACCCCGCACCCTGTCTCACGGCTCACCACGGGAGAGGGCAAAGGCAGGGACAGAGCGATCACTGCACACGAGAAAACGGGAGGAAGGCAGAGCAACTTGGTGGGGGCCGTGCCTACTGGGGGACCAAACTGTGCGATCCCAAGCTGCCTTTCAGATGAATGTGGTGGGACTAGAGCCCTGGTTCCTGGCTCTACTGGACCCCGTGCCCTTCAGCACGGGCTCTAGAATGCACCTTTACTGTCCTGAAATGGAGTCTGTACAACCTCAGACACATGACCTCGGACAAATATATATAAAGCTCCCACATAATGAATTAAAAGGAAAATCATGGATAATAAAACTTTATGATTTCAATATGTAGCTGCTCAGGGGCTACTGCTCCGGAGCGGGGCGAGAGGGGGACCCCCTCACAAATGACAAAATGTCCCCTGAGGTGCCTCCATGCCACACGGACCTCTAGCAGGCCTGCGGGGAAGCCCCTCATCACTCTTACCTCTCAATCTGGGAGAGATATTTGGTCTGAAAAATGCCACGAGTCTTCAGCGGCTCAGAGATCTGCCCTCGGAAGAGGAACCCCTTCTTGGTGAAGTCGATCAAGATGTTGCGGACGATCTCACCCAGGTACATACCACTGATCATCTTCTCAAACCTGAAACAGGAGCCGAGGCGGGTGTCCCTGTGAAGCCTTTGGTCTCCCAGTAGCCCCGGGCATCTTCCTGCCCTTCGGGGGCATCACCAGCCTGTGCACCAGGCCCTGTGCTCCTCAGCAGAGGCAGAGAGAGGCCAGGAAGTGCTGAAAGATCCTCAACCCTCCCCAGGATCAGAAACGTAACCACCAAGGGCGCCTGGGTGGCTCAGTCAGTTGAGCGTCTGACTTCGGCTCAGGTGATGATCTCACAGTTGGTGGGTTCGAGCCCCACGTCGGGCTCTGTGCTGACAGCTCAGGGCCTGGAGCCTGCTTCGGATTCTGTGTCTCTCTGTCTCTCTCTCTGCCCCTCCCCAACTCATGCTGTTTCTGTCT